AGAGCTGGAAGTCTTTCTAAAGATATTTCACACCTCCGAGGTGCTTCACCCTGTGCTCAGAGTGTGAGCGCTCTAGCTCTTTATGCCTTGGTGTTGAGGTCCCTCACTGTTGGAGTGTTTCCAAGATCGAGGTAGCTCCTGCTGGAGGAGACTCAATCCCAGGGTCTGAGTGTATGAGCTGTTTGGGGTTCTGTTACCAGTTCATACCATCTCTTGGATGTTTGGGGGGCTGTGTCCAGGTTGTGTCTGTGAGCTGTGTGGGGGTCTGCCCTGGGGTGTAGTTTGTCAACTTGGATCATTCTGGAGTTTCTATCTGATATGAGGCCTCTAGTCTGTGTGCAGGTCTGCTTTCCAGATTGTGCAGTTCATGAACTCTGGCTTTCTATCCCATCATGTGAGGTGCTTGAGGTATGTGGGTATCTTAGCCAGGATGTGCCATCTTTTTTTTTTTTTTAAAGAGGTATGTATTTTTATTTATTTATGATTTATTTATTTGTTTATTTGTTTGTTTTTTGTTTATACAAGCACTGGGTACAGTCAGAAGCGCGGGAGGGTGAAAGAATTCACCAGAGCCAGAGCGGGGAGCAGAGCAGGCAGAAGGACCAAAGTACACTGCTGAGGGGAGCAGCGGGCGGCAGGAGAGGTCTGCGCGCCATGTGGGACCCTCCTCCGGTGGCCGGGGAGCAGCCGGGGATCGAACCAGTGCCGTAGAGGCCGCAGGCAGCTTCGCAACCCAGCGCTCAACCGCTGCGCCACCGGGGAGGCCCAGGATGTGCCATCTTTGAGTTGTTTTGTGTCTCGCTCCCAGGGCAGTTCTCTGAGCTGTTTGGGAGCCTGCGTCCACCAAGTGAGGTCCCTAGGCTGCTGTGGGTCTGTGACCCAGTTACAAGGTCGCTCAGCTGTTTGTGGCTGCCTGCACAACGCGTGAGTTTTCTAGGCTGTCTGGGGATGTGTGTCCGTGTGTGGCGTCTGAAATCTGAGTGTAAAGCACAGGTTCCAGGACTGCCTTTTTGAGGCCTGTGTTCTGGGCATGGTATTTCCTAATCGTTTGGAGATCTGTGTTTAGAGTGAAGATTTGGAGTTGTTTGGGGGTGCAAGCCTAGGAGAGGAGGTTTCTAAGCTGTTTGGGGTGTGTGTCTAGGACATGTGATCTTAGGATGTGGGGTCGGTATCACTGGGTGTGAAGCTTTTAAGCTAGGTAGAAGGTTTGTGTCTGGATATTCAGGTCTCTGAGCGCTTTTCGTGAATCAGAGTGAGGCTTCGGGACTGTCTGGGTGTTTGAAGGCACTGAGCTATTTTGGGGAAATCTGTGTCCAGTACATGACATCTCTGAACAGGAATCTGTGGCAAGGCTGTGAGGTCTCTGAAATGAATTAGATAGGGCCTGTGCTCCAGCAAATGTGATTCAGAATTTCCTAGTGGCATGTTCAGGGTGTGAGGGGACTGAGTTCTCTGGTGGTCTGAGAAGAGGGCGTGAGGTCTCTGAGCAGGTTGTCCTTTTCATCAGTTTGTTGAGTTCTCTGAGAAATCAGTGTGCCCTTATCACCCTGTTGTGAAGTCTCTGAGCTCTTTAAGAACACGGGTTACAAAACAGGAGGTCTCTGGAAGTGCTTGGCCTTGTCCAGGGCCAAGTTCCTCAGGGGGTAGTATCAGAAGGTATGAGGTCTGAGCTGTACACAGATGTTTGCCAGAGTTGGCATCCTCTGAATGGAGTCTGTTTGGGGGCGTGAAGCTCTTGGGGTTTGTGTCCATGACTGGAGTCTCTGAGTTGCGTGTGGGAAGATGTTCTAGGGAGTGAGATCTCTAGCATGTTTAGTGCTCTACTCTGCAGGATGCCGCCAAGCAATTCGGGGTGTACATCCAGAGTCTGAGGTTTCAGGATTGTTCCACATGGAGGCTCTAAGGGGTCTGGGCAGTCTGTGTCCAGGGGTGGTATCTCAGCTGTTTGGGGATCTGTCCCAGGATGAGGTCTCTGAGCAGTTGGGGAGCAGTGTCAAGGTCTGTGAGATGTTTGTGCATCTCTGTCCCAAGACAATTCTGACACAATAGGGGGGTCTGAATTCCAGTGTCTCAGGCAGCATCGGAAGCGTCAAGAGCTCTTTGGGAGTGTCAGAGAAGCCTGAGTTACTTGGGGTCCCAGTGTGAGATGGCCAAGCTGCATCGAGAGGTGCAGCCCAGTGTGTGAGGTCTGAGGCCTGGAGGCAGTGTCCAGGGGTACAAGGTCTCTGAGCTGAGGTCTGTGTCCTAGGGGCCATGCGGGAGGCCTATGAGCTGCTTAGGATTCTGTCACCTAGGGGTGAAGTCTTTGAGCTATTTGAGCATCTTTGCCGCAGCCTGTGAAGTCACTGAGTAAAAACAAAGGGCATTGGCCCACACTCAGGTTGACGGATGAAAATGAGTGTAGTATGGAAATGTCACCTCTTGGCGTTATAACCTGGCACACAGGTGCTCAAGAAATATTTGCAGAAGCAGCTTCCCCAGCACACAAGGAACTTTTCAGACCTTGGGCTCACCGTGCGCAGAGCAGAGGGTCCAGCTGGAATTGTGTGGTAATTCTGTGCTTCCACTGTCCTGTAAGTTACTTTTGTATGGTTTGCCTGTTGAGGCAGCAATGTGTTTAGTTTGCTTTTTAAAATGCATTTGAAAATTTAAGTACAAAGCAAACTTATCTGGGGTCAAGAGAGTATGTAGGTGATGGTGCAAGTGATAGAGTGGGGAGAGCTGCAGTTAAATGGCTGAGGTTTGAGAAACATGCACTGAGCACCCCAGCTCCCAGGCTCACCTCCCACCAACCTCCGCCCCGACGAAGTCCTCAACCCCCACACTGTGGTTTGTTCAGTCAACAGTTCACTTTATTGATGTCCACCCCAAAGAGAGTAGGGCTGAGGGATGCACAAGAAAAGAACAGATTCAGTCCATGCCTGAAGGTCAGTCTGGGGGCAGGAGGCACAGACACATAGACACACAGACGTACACACAAACCTGGCATCTGGTGGCAGGGCAATCTCACACAGGGGCACTCTGGGCACAGGGAGTCAGGGAGGGCTTCCTAGAGAAGACCTCATGGGAAAAGCAAGGGGCAAGGCAGCCATCAGAGCCTTTGCCTTTTGTACATTGTGGGCAGGTAACTTTTTGAGATCAGTGGACCCGAGGTGCACACAAAGGGCTGGGGCCTGGGACTGGCAGGCAGTGGAGGCTTCCCTCTCACCTCACCAAACCCCAGTGGATGAGGCACCCCACTCCATTCTTGGCCTGTAATTTGCCTTCTGTCACATGGGCCCTTTCCTGGGATCCACCGCCATAATTTTCAAGGCTTCCCTGAGACGTGGACCAGGTGCTCTGCCCAGTGCCTGGCACCTCATCAGCACCTCATGAATGCACATTTTTGTCCTAAGTGCTATCTACAGCCTATCTAGGTCTTGGTTTCAGCTCTGAGTGGTCCGGGCAGCCATCACATACCGGAAGCAGAGCTCCCCAGAGCCCTGTGCGCTCCCAGAAGCAGAGCTCAGCCCTAGCCCACCTTAAGAGCTGGGAAAGTCTGGACTGCCTTCCTCTCATTGGTCAGGGGGTCATGGGCATCCACTCCCCTCCAGTGGCACGTGGACGTCCACTTCTCGGATGCACAGCCCTGAAAGAAAGACCCTTAGGCCAGTGTGTGAGCTCGAGCAGAAAGCAGCCCTGGAGACCCCCTTTTACTGGCACGTTTCTGTATAGGGAGAATAAGTGGGCTAGGAACTCTGGCTCTGATGTCAGCCTGCCCTGGGGCTGCTCCCCCACACCCTTGGGGCAGTAGGGAGGAGGCCTGCAACAGACCCCTCAAGCTCCAGGCAGAAGCAGGTGCAAAAAGAACTTTCTATTCTGGGGCTGGGCTGGGCCTCACCCCTTGGGCCTCCTGGGTAGGCCATGAATCCCAACTGCAGAAAGTCCTTGTGTTGGAAAGTAACTTCTGAAGGCGGGCTGGGTTTGTAAGTGCAACCCACACATGGGCTGGGACAGGGAGAGGGGCTCCTGGAGTCAGCCTCACTGCAGCCCCGTAGCCCCCGGCAGGGGCAAGCAGGGGCAGGTGGAGGCAGGCAGGAGGCCTGGCAGTCAATCCTCAACAGGAGGGCAGCAGTGGGGGAGGAAGCGTGGGGAGGCCCCCACAATCAGTCTGGCCTCAGACTTCAAAGGGCTAGAAGAGGTATTTGCGGCAGGATTCAGTCCCACACTTGCATTCAATACGGACCCGCTTCTTGGGGGAGCCAGGGAGCCCAGCCAGGCCAAAGTTGGAGTCCATGCGGGTGCTCTCCATGTCCACGGGATCCACTGTGGAGTCACAGCCAGGAAGGGGACTTGTTAGAAGGCTGGAGGAAGTGTCCCGACGCCCTTCTTACCAGGAGACCCAAGGGGTCTTGGGGTTGGTGGCTTGGGCCTAGGGCCAGGATTTAGCACTGGAGGGCTGTTAAAGTACTAAGAAGATGGCCAGGGGCTGGGAGTTGTTGGGGAATACAGGGGGGCTGTCAGGGAGAACCAGGAGGGTCGGGCCAGGCAGGGTCAGGAATGGAGGGTCACCTGGGCATCCAGAGGAACATCTGAACACTGCTGCCTAGGTTCTCCCCAGTAGTGTCTCAGAGGTGGGTAGCTTATCAAGGGGCCGGGCTGGAAGCCACAAGGGTAGCCAGAGGCTTGGAATGAGGAAGGGGGGGGAGTTGGGGGAATGAGGAAATTCAGAGAAGACTGGAGTCAGGAGAGGTGGCTTAACTCCCGAGACAAATGTCTTCCTCCAGGAAGTCTTGGGAGAAGTTGGCTTGAGTGTCTCAGGGAAGGGAGAGAAGGGGACCCCCACCTCGGGGTGGGCAGAGGCCCAGAACTCTAGACTGGAAACCAAAGCCAGAAGAGCATCTTAAAGCTCTTGGGGGGGGGTTCCTCATGTCCCATGTTGTGGTGTGCCCCTGCCCCTGGTCCCTTGCCCCCCCACCTTGCATGTTGTAATCAAAGGTGAGCTCCTCGCCTGCCCGGATGGTTCTTGTGGCAAAGAAAGCGATGCGGGGCAGCCGCTCATCAAGGTTGTCTATGAAGACGTTGTACACCTGGAGGTTGGGTCACACTGGGCAGAAAAAGAACAGCGGGAGGGTGAGGTGGGGCCCAGCCTACTCCTCCAGATCCCCGCCCGCCTGCCCACCTGCCGGGTACCCACACTGTGGTTGACAAAGTGGGAGATGTTGCCATAATAGGCAGCATCCACTGTGTACACGTCCTCCACGTAGTCCAGGTCGAAGAGGTAGGTGGCGCCCTGGCGGTCGTAGATCTGGCCCCGCCGCTCCGCCTCCTCTGAGGTAATGATCTGGGGAGAGGGCCGTGGGGAGGGAAGATTGACCAAGAAGGCTCAGGAAAGCCAGCATAGCTCCTGACCCAGAGCCTGGACCCCAGCGAGGCGGCCAAGTGAGCCGAGGCACTCCTACCTCACATGGCGGGCAGGGATGGACACAAGGGGGCCAGGGGTCACAGGGTCTGTCAAGCCCTACTCAGCAGGCTGGGCCTCTGCTGCTCACCACCTGTCCCACCTCAGGCCTCTGAGGCAATGGGGAATCTCATCGGTGGGCAGAGGCTGGCCACAACGTCCAGTGGTGAGAGAGACCACAGTGAGAGACCCACAGTGAGGCACAGTGACAAGATCCAGGTCAAGGCAAGAAAAGAAACGACCGAAGGCACAGGAGAGGGGTAAGGAAAGTGGGGGAGAAACAAGACTCACAGAGTGGTCCAGGAGAGCTCGAGGCACCTGAGGCCCAGCACAAGAGAGGGAGAACCAGTGCAGGCCAGAGAGGAGAGAAAGACCTGGGGCCGAGGGAGAAGGGAAGCGGAATGAAAGTGACTCTGACGAGATCCAGAGGCAGAGAGTCAGAAACAGAACTGCAACAGGAAAGCCCCCAGTCCAGAGAAGACCAAGCGCCCCGGGAGCCTGAGATGACGAGAGAGAGAGAGAAAGAGAGCGCCCCATCTTCAGCCCAGATGCGGTACAGTGCCAACACCTGGCATTTAAGAGGGCAGCAGGCATCTCCTCCTCCCCAGCTGGGTTCCTGCCTGCGCAAATGACGCCAACGGGTTCTCCACCCCACCCCAAACATTCTCCTCTCTGTCCCTCATCGCCCTTCTTCCCCTAGGGCCAACCACAGCCTCCTGGTAATTAACGGCCAAGTGTAGCCGACCATGACCATCTCTGGATGAGGGTCCATGGCACCGAAGACTGCCCTTTCTCAGCCTAGGGTGCCTCGGAAGGTCTCCTTCACTCCTGGGGTTCCTGCTGCCTCCCGCTGCCAAGTGCCAGCACAGTACACAGCACACAGCGGACACGCAATAAACACCCTCTAGTTTCATTCTGCTTTCTAGCCCGGAGACTTCCCTGTGCAGGTAACTCACTCTTGCCCCCACACCTCTTCTCACTTTCCTCTCCCCCCCACCTGCACCCCCCAGACACCTGCTGGCGACATGCTCTTCCCACAGCCCGTTTCCTCTCGCCAGGATGGCCACATCAGTGTCCTCCCCATCCCCCCCTGCCTCTCACACCAGCACCCCAGCCTCTGCTCTGTGCCAAATGCTGATCAATGACACCTCTGGACAACCAACATTTATCCTTTGGGTAACAAGCTCACAGCCCCATTTTTCAGCTCTATTCCTGTTCCCCCAGCCACAAATTTTTGTTTCTTCATGTACTCAGTGGGTTTTTATTTGGCCTGCCCTGTGCCTGGTCCACTGCTCAGGGACTAGGGAGAGTCACAGGGGCCAGGCCCAGTCCCAGTTCTCATGGGTCACAGACTGGTGACAGAGATGGACTTAGACACTCAGGGCAAGATGCTGATCAGGGAACACAATGCTGATGAGTAGAGGGGCGACGGAGAAGAGACTCCCTCTCCAGAGCCAGCTGCGCATCATGAAAGGACGTTGACACCAGGTTGAAGAGCGGGGACTCTCCTGAGGGATCCAACGAGCCATAGGAGCCATTTGAGTTCAGTCAAGGTCACGCTCCCTCCACGCCCAGAGAACATGTGCTCTTCCTTGTGGCATCAGCTCCAACAGATGTTACTTCTCTGTGCGGCCTTCCCAAACCTCCCAGTCCACTCCACCCCAGAAGCCACCCCCTCTGTGAAGCCCTAGGATCAAAGGGCAGCCTCTCCTGGGCTCCAGAGCATACTGGGCGTTGTCTGAGCCACCTTTTTCCTGTCAGCCCCTCCCCAACCAAAGGGAATGCCTCGCATGCTGTCTCTGTGTTCCTGCCAGATCTGCCCCTACCTGCTCGTCTCCCCAGAATGTCTCACCAGGATGAGTCACGCTACAAGTCCTCCAGGCACAAACGGTTCCTTCTCTACCTTCTACTCAGCCCGACTCTAATGGCTGCTCTACCAGGAAAACCAATCGTTCCATCCCTCACCCTAGCAGCTCTCCAGAATGGCTGGGGGAGATAGATGGCCTTGCGCGGGCAGCTTGGAAAGGGGTGCTGATATGAATGGGAACCAGAGGATTCAGCGTTGGGTTGCTGCTCTGCCCCCTTTGAGATACGGGATCCTAAATGTTTTGTTGGCAAAAAAGCCCTCCACCAGGTTTGGCAGAGCACCAAGTTTAGACACGGGCCTCCCCCCACACCCTTTACTGGCTTGGTGACCGAGCAAGTTACTGCCTATCTCTGGGCCTCAGTTTTCTCTGTAGAGCAAGAATGACAATGATAACATTCCCACCCCGGCAGGGGATGTTGTAAAGACCCCACAAGATCAGGGAGGTGAAAGGTGTTTTTAAGTCTGGAGACTGAGCAATGTGAGGAGTGATTCTGAGTCCTGGATCTTGCGAAAACCTACACGCTCCCTTTATTTCATGTGCCCATTCCCTAGAAAGGAGAAACTGCTGCTAATTAAATGACCACACGCTATCACTTAATTAAACCAATGGAGCTGCACCTTCATTACAGAAATGGGAAAATATGAAGTAGTGCACGTGTTAGACTAGATGGCGGGCGAGAGTGGGGGTGTCCTATAGGAACAGAGGGCAGCTCACGAGGGGGACTGTCGGTGCAGAGGTGGACAAGTAGGAAAGTGATCGGCCTGTGCAGACTGTAGGGCGGCATGGCGAACAGGGCTGGGGTGTGTGCCCTTGACTATGTAACACCAGTAGGGGCTGGGGCAGCACACAACCAAGTTAGTCTTTCTGCAGTGAGTTCTGTGAATGCTCACGCCAAGCAGGACAGACTATGTAAGTAGGCTCTTATCAGGAGAGATTGGGTTTTGGTTTTCTGAGCATTTTGGAATTTCAGAATTTGGACCTGTCATGGCTAGTATTTACTGAAGCCTTGCTGTGTACGGAACACTGTTCAAGTGCTTCTTCCAGGTGCTTCCCACATAATAACGCATTTAGTTCACATAACCAAGATTGGAAGTGGGTGCTACTGTTGTTCTCATTTAACAGATTAGGAAACTGATACACCAAGAGGTTAAGTGAATGGCCAAGTTGTAGGAGCTGGGATTTGGCCTCAGGCAGTCGGACTGTGGGGCCAAGATCTTGACCCCTTGGCCGTGCTGCCTCCTCAGAGGCAGATGCAGGAATGTGAGTTTGGTGGCCTCACAGGTCTGGGAGGGTCAGAGGAAGGCCTGAAGTCACCGAATGTGGCAGGAGAGAGGCCAAGAAATAACTGCGGAGAATGTGTGCACAGTGGCAAGAGTGAGGGTGGAGAGCAAGATCCCTGGAAACCCTGGCGTTTCAGTGTGGAGCAGTAGGGAAAGGGGGAAGAGCAGCCAGAAAGGTATCGGGACCAGGGGACATTGGGGTGCCTGTGGGGTGAGGCACTGCTTCCTCCTTGCCTGTCAGGATCCCCCATATTGGACAGCTTTCCCTGGAGGTTGTCAGTACAGTGAGGGTGGAGACCCTCCCCGTTCTAGACTTCCTCTAGGACTGCCAGGCTCCTGTGGGGTCTGGACACCGCCTCCAGAATGTTAGGACACTGAGGGTGTGGGCGCTCCCTCCAGGTTGCCAGAGCTTTCTTAGGTGCAGACCTCATCTCCTTCAGACTGTCACAGTCCCTCTGGGGTGAGGACACTTGCTTTTCCTGACTGGCAGGACAACGTGGGTGTGGTCACTTCCTAAGTCAAACTGCCAGAGTCCTTGGGAATGTGGAGAGCTCGCTCTCTTCCTCTAGGTTACTCTGGGCAGCAGACACCTCCCTCTCCCTGCAGCTTGTCAGGATCCCCTTCCTCTAGACTGTCAGGTACCCTCTGGGGGTCCAGAGCACAGGTCCTCCAACATGTGGACGTTCCTTCACTTGACCATCACGATTATCTGGGGTGCGGATGTGTCCTCGTCACTGCTCTGCAGTATGGACTGCTGTCTTGAGACTGTCTCTTACCCTCTCCACTTTATAGTTCTCAGAGCGGAACCCTGTTCTTTTTATCAGTGTCATTACTACAGTGTAGGTATCCTCAAGCCTGTGTCCCTTAGGACAATTTCAGTCACTTCCCAACCATATCGCACCCCTAAGAGTTTGGAAGTACATGGAGGCATTTGGAGTTGTCGCCATGACAGGGCACACTCATGGATTTAAATGGTCAAATTCAGGGATGTTAAGTGTCACCTGATGCAAGAGATGGTCCTAAAGAACAAATAACTACCCTAGCGTCCCACCATAGAGCAAGACACCTGCTGGTACAGATACCTGGTAGGTAGACACCCAAACCCCTTTTGTTTCCACCTCCCGAGCATGCCCCAGCCTCCCGAGGTGAGGCCGGTGTCTCGGTGCCCGCCAGTACTGTGAGCAGCACGTCTAGACCTGGCCCATTAGAAACCTCCTTCCCTGCCCCCTTGGCCTGCTTGCCAGGCAACACTGCGCATCGGGGGCAGCTCTAAGGCATGGCAATGGCACGAGGGAAAACGCCTAGGTGCATGCTGCTGTGTGAAAGGTACCACCCAAACGCCACACTGGACTGTCATGAGAGCAAGGCCACTAAGTGTGCAAAGCCACTAAAGATCCAGGGGTTGCCTGGGACTGTGACTAACGTGCCTAACACAGCTGGCCTTTCCCCTGCGAGTTAAGAGGAGGAGGCAGCCAACCTCTGCCAGACTGTGTATGTGCTACGCCAGACTGTTCCTTCTGTGAGGTCTAAAAAAGGGAGCTCCTTTCAGGCTAACTCTGCGTGGTGATAAGGGGGACCCGTGTGAAATGAGAAGAGGAAGTGCCTTTTCAGGTGACGCAATCCTGCGCAGGCCACACGGTCTGTTAAATGGGCTCTGCCTGGATTTCAGTTCCCACTCTGCTTATTTGCTAGATACCCTCGTGAAGTCAACCGACCTGGAAGTATTTCCACGTACCCCTAACTACCAGCTTAGCTGTCCTGGTGTGTGCCAACCTGGGCTACTCGGCCCTACTATGATGTGCCTATCACATTCAGGTAAACCACCTCCTCCCTGCCCCTGACCTTTCCCGGGGGGAAAGCAGGGATGCTGCAGGTACACAGTGAAGAGAGCTACAGTGGGCACATGTGGTAGGAAGAGCTGCACACACACGCGCTGTCCCATCTCCCTACCTCTCCCACGTACTCCATGACGAAGCTATTCTTGCGGATCTTCTCCAGCGTTCGGACGCCCCAACCTCGCCCATCATCTGTGCGGAAGATGCAGAGGTCGTAGCGGATACCCTTCTGTACCACTCGGTTGGGGCAGTCATAGCCACAGCGGCAGCGGGAGTTGCACTCGTAGATGGGCAGCCCAGCTCGCAGGCGCACCTGGCCCTGGTCATTGTAGGCAAATTTGTGCAGCGATGCCCCAGGGCAGCAGCCACCAGCCGGTGCCCATAGACAGTCCTGGCACTCGCAGCCCACAGCCACCTGGTTGAGGGTGATGCCCTCCCCAACACGGTACTCGTTGATGTACACAAAGGCCCGAGGGGGACCATCCAGATCCACCTCATTCTCCACGGTGATACGTCCCAGATGGCTGCGCTTGGCATTGAGCTCCTGCTCCCAGCACCGGAGTGCCCGCCTCTGCTTGGCCTTCTGCACCAGGTAGTTAGCCAAGCTTGGGTCCAGGTGCCGGGGAGGCTTTGACCGGTGGTGCCGCCGGAGCAGCTCCCTTTCCAAGTCCTTGTGGAACTGCTTGAGAATACGCACACACTTCAGATTTTGACGTGGCTCCCAGGTGCTCTCTGAATCTGGGTATCCACGCCATTTTACCAGATAATACTCCTGTTCCTGTTGAGGAGGATGAGGACATGGGCACCGTAAGTGGTATGACCCTTGGGCCAGCCCTTGTAGGACTCCCATCCCAAAGCTGAAGAGTAACACCCAAACCCTCCCCACTTTTCTGGAATGACTCCATGCAGTGGTTAAGTAGCATGGGAATCCCTATGTTCAACTCCTGCCTCCCCCCTTTACTGTCTCAATTCTCACTTTTAATTTAATCATCCAAATTTACTCCCTCCTCTGTCTTTCCCATTATCAGTTCCCTCCTCTGAGCTGTTCAGGCCCCAACCCCTAGAATCACCTTGCCAGCCCCACCTCCAGACCACCTCCAGAATCCGAGCACTTCAAGCCATTATCACTGTTACCACTGCCGTCCTCACCCGGACCATTACAGTAGCCGCCTCAATGATCCCCGCTCCTGCCCTCACCCTTAGTCTGGTCTCCCCACAGCAGCCAGAGGAATCTTTTCTTGCTGAGTTTAACTACGGAGAGTCTATGAGTTAGATACCACAAGCAGGAATCCTGAATCTGCCACTCCCCAGCGGTGTAGCCTGAAGCAAGTTATTTAACTTTGCCTTTAGCAGGTAGTGTTTTAAGCAAATTACATGGATTTTTAACTAATTTAATCCTCACAACTTTCTATGAGGTAGCTACTAATCATCCCCATTTTACAGATGAGGAAATGAAGCACAGAGTGTTTGGGTAAGCATCCCAGAGTGAAAGATTCTGAACCCAAGCATGCTGGCTCCAACCCATTCTCTCTGCTACCCTGCCATTACTTCCTCTGGCACTGAAAACAGTTCCCATTTCACAGTAGTGTATGTGTGTGAGGGGGGGAGAAAATGAATTTCTAAGAGGAAAGGAAGCACCTGGCACACCAAAAGTACTCAAAAGTCATTCACTATCATCATCCCACTCCTGGCCTCAGCATCTCCATCTTTGCAATTGGTTTGTATTCCTAGGGAGGTGGGGAAAAGACACTTATCTGGGGACTAAGAAAGTCACTTCCCCACTTGTAAAATGTGAATGCTAAAAGGGTGTACTAATCCCAGTTTTTATGATCAGAGGAGAAAATTCCTTTTGGAAATTTTGGGTAGCAGGGGGCAAGAGGGCAGGAAGCCAACCTCCTTGAGACACCCCTCCCCAGGCCACGGTCACTCCAGACTCACACGAATCTTCTTATAATCGCACAGGTACTCGACTTCAAAGTCATAGAGGTTCCTCTTGGAGACGCCCAGGGCAGGGCAGGAGAGCTTGGCCAGGCGGCACAGGTCCTGTAGCTGATTCCAAGAAGACTTGCAACACACACTGCAACCTAGAATGTGGGAGCCAGAAAGAACTTACTGGGCATCCTGGTGAGGCCAGAGATAAGAGGGGACCCCAAATCAAATCCTCCCTGGGACTTCCCAAGGACGGCTTCAGAGTCTGTGAGTTTAATCCACAGGTCTTCCCAATGCTAAAACTCTTCTCCACAAAAACGCGCCACTTCCTTCAACCCCAGTGCTCACTGTCCTCCAAGTGGGATCTGCTGTGTGGACTGTCCCAAAGGAATCTATTTCCAGAGCTTCCAACTCCTATACTATTCGTAACACAGCTTAGGGTTCAGGGTCTCATCACCCTTCTCCCACTTTTGAAAAAGAACAACCTCTCCACCTCAGTAGGGTGCACTGCCCTAAAGGGATGGGATTAAAACTGCCAAGCCATCAGACACAGCTGTAACTGGAAAGACTGGTCCACAAACCCTTATCTGAAACTTCTGCAGCCAGATGTGTCTTGCAATTCAATGCTTTGGATCTTACAAGTGTAGCATTAGATATATACCATAAATTACTTAACACCCCCCAGTGTGGTCAAGGGCATCAAGCCAATCAAGCACATTAATAGCTCTGCAGCATAAGTCTGAATTTTTACATTAAGTAGGAGAAATAAAGGTGTAAGACAGCACTGAATAGTCCCACCTGTTAGGGGCCAAAAGTTTTCAAGACACAGATAAAAAGACTTCTGATTTGAAGCTTAATTAATGTACCTCTGATTCTTAATTAATGTACTTTGGAGGCCATTTTCATCAAATCACCTTACAAAAATACTGAATGTAGTCCGTCTTCATCCTATTTCATCCTTTTTTTTTTTAAAGATTTATTTATGCATACAAGAGCTGGGGTACAGGCCAGAGATGCGAAGGGGGGGGGGAGAATGAGAGGATTCACCAGAGACAGAGTGGGGAACAGAACAGCCAGACTGACTGAAATATACTGCTGAGGGTAGCAATGGGTGAGACAGGAGAGGTCTGCCTCGCCATGTGGGTGGCTCCCTGGCCAGCCAGGGATAGAACTTGTGCTGCAGGGGCTGCAGATTGCTTCATAATGCGGTGCTTAACCCCTTGCGCCACCAGGGAGGCCCCCAATTTCATGTTTTAAAAACATATAATATTCTCTCCTTGCCATTACAGAAGCATTTAATGCAATACTCTAGATGTCAACTGAAAGATGTACAAGAGCTTCGCAAAATTATTTCAGATGTACTTCCTCTCCCTCCACTTAGGCCAGTGGGGGCTCAGTCTAGCCGAGACCATGCTTTCCTCTCCCCAACGTGCCTCTCCCTTTGGAACCCCTTCACTTGTATTTGGAACCCCACTAAAGTGGTCCCAACTAACATGTCCAGCTGCTGCTGCACTGACCACAGCTGGACTCTGAATCCCTTAGAGGTCCGTCCCCCTCACACATGGGGAACCCAGCCTCCCCGCAGCTTTTCTCACACCGAGGAGTCCCCGTCAACCCCGCCAACAGGCTATGAAAGCCTCCCCTCTTTCCCTGCACATCGGGGAGTCCAACTCTCCTCTAAGGGGTGTCCCCTTCCTCTCTCCCTAGGGGAGTCCTCTCTACCACAACCCCTTCTTCCAACACACTGAGAGCAGCTACCCTCCCCCTGTAGCATGCCCTGTCCCCCAACTCTGTAAAGGAGGCCCGTCCCCTTTCCTTCCCTCCCCTTCCGGCGTCTCGCGTGGACACCAAACGGGTAACGGTCACCGGCGGCCGATTTTCCCGCGCGCGGGCGCGGCCTCCCTGACAAGCCCCCGCGCGCGCGCGCCACCCAGTCGCAGCGGGAGGCGCGCGACCCTCCCCATCCCCACTTAGCCCCGCACTCGCCGCTTTCTGAGGCACGAGCCCCCTCCCCTCAGCCCCGCCCAGCCCCGCGCGCCGGCCCGGCTCCCCAGCTCTATTCTTTCCGCGCCGGGCTTCCGGCTCCTGGCTCCGTGGCCTTGGACGCCGGGGCCCCGAGCCCGCGACGCCACCCCTCCAGCCCACCCGGCCCGGCCAGCAGGCCCGCCCCGCTGCCGCCACTACTTCACCTTTTAAATTTTCCGCCATCTTTCCCCACGGCTAACGACATTCGGGCCTAGCCGCCTCGCGAGAAAGAGAGCTCGCGCGGGCGTGGCCGAGAACGCGCAGCCTATGGTCGCGCCGTTCCGCGAGCAGCGCCGGCGCGGACCAACCGGCGAGCCGTGACGGGACCCTCCCCGCCACCGCGCTCGGTCCTGAAGGCGGGTGCTCGCCGGCGTTTTCCCAGAGTGCGTCTGGGCGACGGTGGCGGCGACGGCGGCGGCGGCGGCGGCCCTGCCCGTAGGGCGCTCTATCTGTCAGGCTGTCTGCCAATCACGTTGTCAGCCGGCCGTGTGGGGGACCTTCCGTCCTGTCAGGCCCCTCAGGGGCCCCATCAATCCGTCCGGCACCCCATTGTAACCCCAAGCTGGCCGTGGTTCCCCAGATGGACCATCGCCACATACAGCTTCTCAGTCACCCAGTTTCATTGGCCCATGGGTCAGCTCCCGCCCCTGCATTCCACTGTCAGTGGGTCTAAGGTAGCACTAGCAGCAGCGGGCCCTCTCGCCAGCTGTGAATCCCTCAAGGCAGACCCCGTTAGCCAGCCAGCCATTCCCTTCCACTGACCCTTCACACTGTCATTCCAGCAGCTCAACTCTCCATCTCTCCTGGCCCAGCTCTGAATGTCGGGGGTGGGGCGGGGAAGGGGGGCTCTTCTGGACACTTCTGGACTCACTCAGTAAACCCCAGAAACCAGCCAGGTCCTTGGGCAGGCTGTCATGGAGCCTTGGGTTGCCATTCTCTACCATCACCTGGTGGCTGTGTAATTATCTCATTCACACCATGATCCCCCAGTTATGCCCTCAGTGCCAAAACCAACCTCGCAGCAACTAAACCCCAGGCTAACTGGGAGTGGGTCTGCAGTCTGTCCTTTCTCACACCAGGTGTCCCTGTAACAGGGTGGTCCCCAGGAAAGGGGGAGGTTCCAGGTTTCCCTGCCCCACCCAAGGGAGGGTGGAGCTGAGCAGGAAGAGGAGAAGCTGGAGAAGAGACTGAGGAAGGAAGCAGGATGGAGCCAGGAGACCTGGAAGAGGCGCATGGAGCCTAGAGACATGTGAAGAAACTGCGCTTGTCTTTTGGTCGTGGACGGGGTGACACAGATGTGGGTGAGACCCGTGGGGAGGTGACCATGGCAGCTTTTATCTTGATGTTGATTTTGCTCTTTTCCTTCCGGGCTTGTCCGGTTGTTTGTGACCCTTTTCTGTGGGTCCCCACTGGAAGATGCTTTAGACTTGTAGCAGGCTTTGGGGCCTTGTTCTGGGCCAATCCCATTTGGATGGACTTTTACCCACGAGGGGACGGGTAACTTTGGGTGCTTCATTTAGAAACTAGATTCTTTGCCTTACCTGTATTGTTTCCTAGTTTTATTAAAGTTCCTTCCCATTAAAGTGTCATATGTTTTGTGTTGATGCGGCGGATGGCAGAACCCATTTAGAATAGGCAGGTTTGCGGGGTTCTGGGGTGCCCTTCTCCCTGTCCTATAACATCCCCACCTGGTCAGCCAGTCAGTATCCCCTGACCCATTGGGGCCCCTCAGGAAGACTCTGGTTGTAATGGTGCACAGTCATCAGGTCAGGAAGCTACACAGATCTTTCTGTTGGTCGGCCCGCCTGTGACTTGTTCAGTCTGCCCCTGATCATATTGTCAATCAACCAGGTAGCTGTTCTCAGCCTCTGATTGACTGCACATGTCAAGCCTGATGTGATTTAATCAGGGCAGTCAGTGACCAGATACACTTGCCTATCAGGCAGCCACAGATTTATCCATCAGTGGCTTGAAATTCCCTCAGGGTACACCCTCCTTTACACCTTGCCAAACTGTAATATCCAGATATGATTCCTAGCAGTAGTCAGCCATTCACAACATCCCACCACCCAGTCAGGCAGCAGCACCACAGGTCATCAGCCTGCTAGCCCGTCACCCCACCAGAAGGCTGCCTGGATTCTACAACATCAGGCCAGTAGCCTCAGCCAGTCCCGGGCAGGCTATAATTTAGTTAGATGCTCAGAACCACCCTGCATCAGGAAACCGCACTGGCAGTTCCTCAAATTGCCCCTCTCCCTGTTGGTCCATGGTTATGTAGTCAACCAAACGGTTATATGGTTAACCAAATGGGTTTTCTGTCTTCCAGTCCAGCTGTGAGCTGGTTGGAGAAATAATCAATCAGTCTGAGGTTTCACCAGTTCTTGCTTGCCATGAGTGGAACAATCAACCATGTAAACCTCACTGTGCACCCCCCCCCATTCCTTCTAGAACATGATCAGATGCTGATTCTCACATGCCCCTAGTCTCTCTAGGCAGGCGGCACCCTTCTAGTCTCAGGGCCCAGGAGGCCTGTCCAACCCCTTAGAGTGGTTTAATACATGACCTCTTCATGTCTGAATCTGGAGGGGTGACATAGGGGTCTGTGGGCATTGGGGTGTATTGCTTGCCATCACCTACCCCCCACTAAACAGTACAACATCATACATGGGTTCTGAAGCCCCACTACCTGGGTTCAAATCCCAGCTCCAGCATTTACAAAATTGTGTGCTTTTAGGCAGTTTCTTCATCTGTAAAACCTCAGAAGAGTGACCTTGGGGTGGGCATCTCCCACTCATCCAAAAAATGAATCTTTCTGGACTAGCCCCTTTATAGGAAAACTCCAAAGTAAGAGATCACCCTGTGATAACTGTGTCTCATTCACAGCCACTTGTCTGTTCATTCAGCATTAATTTAGTGCCTACTAGGTAGCCTGCTTTGCCCAGTGCTGGAGCCAATACAAGGTTTTATCCATTCCAAACTGAAAAGGTTTGACCGGTTTTCAATGTAAGCCTCATATCAGAGTGTACCACACATACAGAAGAGTATGCAGGCCATGGGTGACAGTGTAATGAGTTTTCACAAGTGGGCATACACGTGGAAACAGAATGGTTAAGGAACCACATCCCCAGCCAAGGCTCCAGAGGCATTTCCTTTTTAAAGATCTCTGAAATTGGGTTGCATCTGTCAAACACTGGTGGGTCAAAATCTAATTGGTGACACTTTTTTGTATTTCTTAGTGATACATAAGATAATGGTGCATTTTTTAATTAAGGATAACTCAGGATGGCGACAGCCTGTAGTAGCAGTAACCACAACAGCAACAGTAACTAATGTTCATAGAGACCTGCTAGGAGCCACGCACTTTGCAGACACCATCTACTTCAATTCTCAACACAGTCCCCTGAAGTAAATGTTTTTATCCTCATGTTAAAAATGGAAGAAAATAATTTAAAAAATAAAAAAAGATGGTGGAAACTGAGGTCCAGAGAGGTCAAGCAGTTTGCTCAAAGTCAATTCTTTCACTCCAAGTTTGTGCCTGCTCTACCTAAGTGTTCATGGTGATTCAGAGTTTATATGATGTAATGACTTTTCTTTTTTTTTTTTTAAATGATTTTTCTTTTTAAGAAACATGCATTATTTATTTATTTGTTTGTTTGTTTATACATGCACTGGGTACAGTCAGAAGCTCGGGAGGGTGAGAGAATTCACCAGAGCCAGAGCGGGGAGCAGAGCAGGCAGAAGGACCGAAGTACACTGCTGAGGGGAGCAGCGGGCGGCAGGAGAGATCTGTGCGCCATGTGGGACCCTCCTCTGATGGCCGGGGAGCAGCTGGGGATCGAACCGGTGCTGCAGAGGCCGCAGGCAGCTTTGCAACCCAGCGCTCAACCGCTGCGCCACTGGGGAGGCCCTGTAATGACTTTTCTAAGACAAAGCCTGCTGAAGGGGCCCAGAATCCTGGATTTCCTTTTTTTAAAGATTTATTTATGCATACAAGAACTGGGGTACAGGCCAGAGATGCGGGGGTGGTGGTGAGAGGACTCACCAGAGACAGAGTGGGGAGCAGAACAGGCAGACTGACTGAAATACACTGCTGAGGGGAGCAGCGGGCAAGTCGGGAGAGGTCTGCTGTGCCATGTGGGTAGCTCTCTGGCCGGGGATCGTACTTGTGCTGCAGTGGCTATGGACAGCTTCATAGGTTGTGTCTTAACCCCTTGTGCTACCAGGGATGCCCGAATCCCGGATTTCTAAGACTTGAAGCGGGAGAGCCAGAAAGAGGGTGAGTGATATGACAGGCCCTTTCTCTACTCAGTGATTGCCCTTTGGTCTGGCTGGGGTGGGGTGTGGAGGGAAGAATAATGAAAGAATGAAAGGGAACTTACGAATCCCTCCTTATCCAGGTTCCAAGAGCTCTGGGGGAATTATTACTGGGTAAAGCCAGCTCTAAACCCCGCAACTTTACCCTCGACACTCCCACTACCCTTACCACCTGCCTTGTTTCCTCTCTCCCAAAAACCCCTAACCTGTGCCTCAATAGTTCAGAAATTCTTCCCCTGGTCTTGCAGATGGAAAGAGCCTGCCCTCTCTGATTCTCCCTCTCCTTTGTTTTCCTTTTTCTCCTCCAAAGGTAGGACACCTGTGACTGAGAATCCTCCAGACTCCGGAAATGGTCAGAAGGAGGGAACTCAATTCTAGGCATTGGTGAAGGATATTCTATGGGAACTACACCTGAGGGGGTGGGGGAAAGCAAATATTGTTTAAAAATGAACAACGATGTAAAAAATAAAAAAAAATTGAAAAATTCTAGGCTTTGATGTGAAGAATTTCTAATTACTCCCTCAAAAAGAGTTTGAAACACCAGGAACCGTTTTGCATTGCTCCTTTTCTTTTTACTTCTGGAAAGCAAGTCCCGAGGCGAAGAGGTGACCTAGTAGGATCCCAGTAGGAAATTAGTTACATACTGTTAACCCCATTATACAGATGAGGAAACTCATCAGATGTAAGGCATCTTGTCCAGATTCTAGCGCAGATCTGATTATTAAGTCTTAGCCTCTTCCAGTGCAATTGGCCAGGATTTGGTTTGCCCTGGGAACTGGGCAAGACCAAACATTAAATTTAAAAGGGGGATCTTGCCAATCAGGATTCTGGCGTGTGATTTGTTAGGTGCGTGGCAGTAGGGATGTCTGACTGAGGATTCTCTTCATCTAGTGTCATGTTGGGGCCTCCCCTGTGGCGCAGCGGTTGAGCGCTTGGTTGCGAAGCTGCCCGTGGCCTCTGTGGCGCCAGTTCGATCCCTGGCTGCTCCCCGGCCACCGGAGGAGGGTCCCACATGGCGCACAGACCTCTCCTGCCGCCCGCTGCTCCCCTCAGCAGTGTACTTCGGTCCTTCTGCCTGCTCTGCTCCCCGCTCTGGCTCTGGTGAATTCTCTCACCCTCCCGCGCTTCTGACTGTACCCAGTGCTTGTATAAACAAACAAACAAACAAATAAACTAAATAAAAATAAATAAATAATACATGCCTCTTAAAAAATAAAAATAGTGTCATGTTGATTGAACTTAAACAAAAATAATTCAGTAAGTGAATGAATAAACGACTCTCCTACTCATTCACCACACCCAGCCTCAGGCCAAGCCTTTCCCCATTTTGGGCCAGGGCCTTTGCACTGGCTGTTCCCTCTGCCCGGAGTACCTTCCCTCCAAACATTTTTTTTTAAAGAATTATTTATTTTTATACAAGAGCTGGAGTATAGGCCAGAGGTGTGGGAAGATGAGAGGATTCACCAGAGACAAAGTGGGGAACAGAACAGGCAGACTGACTGAAATACACTGCTGAGGGGAGTAGCAGGCGAGACAGGAGAGGTCTGCGGCTCCAGGTGGGTAGCTCTCTGGCCGGCCGGGAATTGAACCTGTGCTGCAGAGGCTGCGGACAGCTTCACAGCACTGCGCTCAGTCAACCCACTGTGCCACAGGGAAGGCCCTTCCCTCCAAATATTCACATGGCTGACTCCTCTCTTTAGGTCCAGCATAACAGGCACCTCCTTCAAAGTGAGTTTCCCTGACTGCTCCACCTGACTGTTATCTCCTTTCAGTACTTCATAGCACTTATGATCTGTAACCATCTCTTGTTTCCATTTTATTCCTTGTTTCTCGTCCATCTCCTCCTGCAGAATGTCAGCCCCTTTCCGTCATTTTTTTTTCCCACTGCTTTATCCCCAGCCCCTAATGTAGTGCCTGGCAACAAGTGTTTGAGGAAAAAAAGAAGTGCAGAAGGAAACAAAGAAATACAGGCTAGGGGCTCTCCGGTGGCACAGCGGTTGAGCGCTGGGTTGCGAAGCTGCCCGCAGCCTCTGCAGCGCCGGTTCAATCCCCGGCTGCTCCCCGGCCACCGGAGGAGGGTCCCAAATGGCGCGCAGACCTCTCCTGCTGCCCGCTGCTCCCCTCAGCAGTGTACTTCGGTCCTTCTGCCTGCTCTGCTCCCCGCTCTGGCTCTGGTGAATTCTCTCGCCCTCCCGCACTTCTGACTGTACCCAGTGCTTGTATAAACAAATAAAAATAAATCTTTAAAAAAAAAACAGGCTATGACTGAGGGGATGGATGAATGAATGAACACATGGAAGCCTAAATAAATGAAATGATGTAGATGAATAAAAGGGACTTGGGGGTATAAAGGACCCTAAGTATCACATTTGGAACATAAACAAACTGAGATTTCAAGAAACAAAAAAGGCAATTACTTTATTTTTTAAAAAAAATTATTTATGCATACAAGAACTGCGGTACAGGGCAGAGGGGTGGGGGGTGGGGGGTTGAGAGGATTCACCAGAGACAGAGTGGGGAGCAGAGCAGGCAGACTGACTGAAATCCACTGCTGAGGGGAACAGCAGGCGAGTCAGGAGAGGTCTGCTGTGCCATGTGGGTAGCTCCCTGGCTGGCCAGGGATCAAACTCGTGCTGCAGGGGCTGCAAATTGCTTCATAGTACGGTGCTTAACCCCTTGCGCCACCAGGGAGGCCCGAGGCCCTACTTTATTTTTGTTAAAAATCCTTGAGCAGTCCTAAAAATTCCTGAGAAATTTTATATAAAAAGGGCTCTAGTTGTTGCTAGGGGGAACATAGGGCCAGATAACAGCAATGGAGGGATTGGTGCTGAAGAAATGGGGCTTGAGAGCCTGGAAGTGGAGGACTTGCAGTGGCTGCCAGGGGAGTAGGTGCAGAACAAGTTGGGGGTGAGGGTTGGAGGTGACTTAGTCGTCCCATTCATCATCGTCATCATCATCTCCGGCCTGGTCCTCCCCTTCGTCTGGAGGGAGAGAAAGTGGGACTCAGGATGGGTAAGAGGGTTCAAAGACCCTAGGGGTGGGTTCCTAGGCCTGAGAGTTGAGGAGGGGACCTCAGTACTCTGAGGAACTGAGGCCTCCTGCTTGGAAATCAGATCTGGGGTCTGTGTGGTTCGATAAGGAAGGAGTGCCCTGAGAAGGGTTTCCACTGGGGCAAAATAGGGATTATAGTTGGTGTCTGGGTGCTAGTTGGAGTCAGAGTTAGTATTTTTGTCATAAATGTGGTTAGTTGGGATGGTATTGTCACACAGAAGGCTAACATTAATGGGTTTGTCAGTGGGAAAAATTTAAATATTAGCAAAGGTGGGGTAAATTACAATATTATTGTTTCATAGTGGGTTCATGTTACTATTGACACATAATGGGGTTAATGATAATATTGTCCAAAATCACTTTTTATATTATCATATATTATTTAATATTATCATATATTATTTAATATTATCATATAACAGATTCATGTTAATCTTGTTAGATGGTCTGGAGTTATATAATTGTCAAAGTTGGGGTTAATTATATTGTCACATAATAGGTCATAGTTAATATTTTCTTGATATAATTGTCATGTAACGACAACATTGTCCATACATTAATGTTAACATCATTGTAAAAAGACTGGAGTAGTTCTCTTATCACATAATGAGTCCATGTTCATCTAGAAATACATGGAGTTGAACTTAGTATTATTGTCCAAGATGGGGTTCTTTATCAGGTTATCATCACATTGTCGGCCAATGTTAGCACTACCGAACCTATGGGACCAGCGTTAATATTTGGACGTCCCTTGGCATTAGTGTTAATATTATTGTCAAAGATAGAGATAATTCTATTTTTGTTACAGAAAGACAACAGTAATTAACATGATCAAAAAGGAGACTGATTCAGGTTCAGGATACCACTGTCATTAATAGTTGGGGCTAATGTTACTATTGATGGTGACTGGGAGTGACCCTCACTGGGGGTGACTGATTGATGCTGGGCTTGTTTTAGGGCCCACTTTAGTTCTGGAGAGATGGGCTCTGAATGGGAGGCTGGCAGGGGAGGATGGGCTCTCACCGGAGGAGTGGATGGCTTTGCTCCTCTTCTGCATCACGTGCATCAAGGCCCCCACCAGCCCCTCGGAGCTCTGTGGTGGGGGCTGCAGCGTCGAGCTCTCTGAAGCCCCTGGGGTCTGCAGCAAGCCCAGAACAGAGGGCTCAGGGTCTGTGAGAGGAGCACTTCTCCCCACCCCTTCTCATTATTTCTCCTCCCACATACTCCAGCCCCTTTCAAGACTCCAAGCCCACCTCTTCCCCCAACCTCCCAACCAAATCACTGTATCCCAAAAGTCTGGGACCCCCCAGCAGTCTCCCCCCAGGCCTCTAATATCCTGACTTGCACAGCACACCCCAGAGTTCCAGAACCCCAATCCTCCATCCTGTCCATCCTCACCTTGTTCAGCTGAATTCCCTGTCGAATTTGGTCCAAAAGTGCCCCCGACCCCCACCAGGGGCCACCCCCCACAGACCCCAGAGTAGGAGGGGGTGGGGGTGGGACTGGCCCACCCCCACAGCTGGGTGGTGGTGGTGGTGGTGGCGGCGCGGCGGCGGCATGGGTGGCCCCCCAGCTGCAGAGGGTGGAGGTGGCGGTGGTCCAGAACGTCCTGGCTGGAGGGGGTGGTGGTGGAGGCCCTCCTCGGCCCAGAGGTGGGGGTCCCCGGGGAGTTGGCGGGGGTGGGGCACCTCCCGAGGGTACAGGGGGCAGTGGACCAGAACGACCCTTGTTTGTTCCCACAGTAGGGGGGCGGGGGGCTGGTTCCCTCCTCTGGACGGTGGTGGGGGCGGTGGAAGGGGCTCTGAGGGAGGAAATAACACGTAGTTATTATTTTTCTTCAGAGCCTCCGTTTTGCTCATTTGTAATATGGGCACCCCAACTGTCAAACTCCCAATTCAAGCTCTATGGAGATTTCCATGAGGAGTTAGTGTCTGCAGGTATCTGTTAGATATCAGTTACCAGGCTGGGAAGAAGGGGGTGTCCAGAAGGAAGGGCTCACCCTGGCGCCTCATTTCTTTACGCACAGCCTCCAGCCCGCCCTGGTCTTCAATGAATTCATAGATAAGTTTGGAGGTTTCAGCATCAGTGAGCTGGGCCTCACTGATCCCTGCCCTGGAGAACAGGCTCCGCAGATCCGGGTCCAGGTTGTTTACCTATGGGGAGTGGGGGGTAGGCAGGTGTGGTGGAATAAAGTTAGGAAGGAAGGGCACAGATTATCATTGGGCTCACCCCAGAGAGGAAGGGTGGGATCTGGGGGTAGATAGAAGGGTGGGTGGGTGGGAGTTAAGTGGAGTCCATGGGACTTTGGAATTACTCACGTCAAATCCATTCTGGGGATCCCATCCCACATGGCTGACATGTCTGGGGGAGGTGAGAATACCCAGTGAAGCCCCACTGTCCTTTGTTCCCTCCCTCCCTAGTAAAACCCTCTTGTGCTTTCCTGCCCAAGGAAACTCTGAGGGGGGCACAGTGAATGAGTCATAAGTGATTGAATGAAAGCAGGAGTTATAGAATGAGAAGGGGTCTACAGTTTGTGGGACCCATCTGTCCACCCATCTTTTTTGCCACCATCCATCCACCCATCCACTTGTCCAGCTAGCCATTCACATTCATCTGTCTGACCACTGATCTGGTGAGCATCTGTCTCTCTATCCATCTGCGCATCCATGTTTACTCACTTGTCTACCAATCTGTCCTCATACTTCATCTGCCCATTCATCTACCCATGTACCCTCCTTTCCATCCATCCACTCATTTTTCTATCCATTCAATCATACACTTCTGTCAATTTATCCAATGAGCTGTCCATTCACCCACGCATCTTCCCCACCTATCCAGTCCCATTCACCTTGTCTGTAAACCATCAGCCTACATATCCGTCTGTCCACACACTCATCCACTCACCTACCCATCTATCCACCCACTTCCACCTATTTGCCCATCCAACTATCCATTTCTTCACCACCCATTCATTCATTCATTCATTCACTCATTCATCCATCTACCCATCTGTCCACCCATCCACTCACCCACCAGCCCACCCAGGGTGGGACTAGTGTGAAGCAAGTAAGGTGCCTAGCATGCAAAACTGAAGGCAGTGCTCACTCTCAAAGTCATGAACTGTAGTTGCTTGACCCCGGGAGTGACGGCAGCCTTAAATTTTTCCCTCTTGGTACCTCACTTGTGTCTCTCCAATCCTGGCCCTGCAGCTACCCACCCAACTACCCATCCATCTGCCCACCCTTCCATTTACTTAGCTCTCCTCTCTACCTGTTCATCTGCCCCCCACCCCTCACAGAGATCTGTGGGCCCACTGGGGTTAGGCTCTTACTTGAATCCACTGGGTGCACCAATATCAGCCTTGCTGATCTTCTTCTTCCCTGAGCGTTTCTTATCAGTTGGGCCAGGCCCAGGTACTGGGAGCCCACGGTATCGTGAACTTGTGATGTCTGGGTTCTGGATGTCCACTGTCACCAGCCCCAGGGACAGTGGGCTGGCTGTTGGGCCTATGGGGAAAATAGGGTGACTGGACCATTGACCTACTTACCTACTACCAACCACAGCAAAGGGCAAGAGACAGGAAGACTGTTGGGGAAATCTGTGTGTGTATTGAAATTCATAGAGGGATTGGGTTTATGGTAAAGTGGATTTGTCCTGCAAATCAGTCATACATTCATGGATTCATTTATTTATCCATTCACTCATGTTCTCACTTAACTATTGACTTAATACTGGCTCATTAACTCAACTTGCTCATTGACTAATTTGTTAAATTATTCATTTACTCATTTATTCAATCATTGCTTTCTTCACTGACTGAAATTTCATCACTTATTCATTCATTCTCTGTTCCATTCATTTACTCACTCATTAATTCAACAATATACTCACTCATCCATCCATCTCTTCATCATTTATCCAAGTACTCATTCAACTATACATCTATACACCCACCTATATCTCTATCATATATCTGTATTTTCATTCTCCCATTGGTTCAACCCCCTGTACAACCACCTGTCCACCACCAATCTACACACACACACACACTCACACACACACACACATCCATCCCCCCACAAAGTTACATATCTATGCACCTGTTCATCCATCCATCCACCTACTCCCCATGCATCCATCCATCTGCTACCCTCCAAGAATCAGCACTCACCTCCTTGTTCGCCACCTGGGTGTGGGGGTAGGGGTGGGAGACCTCCTCTTCTCTCTGGGAAGATGGAGTGGGCAAATAGCTATCACAACCCTGCCACAGGCTCCTGGCTAGCCCTTTATTCCCCTGCTTGCACTGGAAGACTAACCTTCATTGGCTGGTGCTGGTGGTGGAGGTAGCTGGCGTCTGTCTGTGTAGAGACAGGTGGACAAGAAAACAGAACCACAGGTGTTTTCAGCACCCCACACTCATACTCACCTCTGCTCAAGCTTTCTCCCCCCAACACCATCTCACCTCCACTTTGCCTCTGATTCCTCTTGTGTATCTTCTCCTGCACTAGGGCCTGGAAGGCCTGGGCCTCACCCTCGTCTGCAAAGTTCAGCCCTGCTTGACAGTCCTGCACACACCTTGGGGTCAGCAGCCATCCAGACTCCCACACTTTCCCCAACTCCTCCCCACACCTCAACTGAGGCACAGGGGTTCACTTACATCTCCAGCAAAGGTGTGGAAGAAGGGGGTGGGTGTGGAGTAGACCAGCTGTGAGTACAGCTCCTGTTGCCAGAGCAAGCGGCCCGCCTGGAAAGGTAGAGGGTGGGGAACACATTAACACTGGGTGTGCCCTGGGCGACAGGCCTCTGTTATCTGGGCAGGAAGCACCATGTGCAGATTTGCAGCCCTAGGACTTGACTTGGAGATTTTCAACTCAGCATCAGAGAGTTGGGGGGTCTAGGTGGCAGATATGGAGGGCCGAGGTTCAGTATGGACATCAAACACTCTGAGAGACCTGGACTTAGGTTTTGAGGCCTTAGATGTAGGACTTGGGGGCTAAAATTTGAGGATTTTGGACTCCAGAAAATAGAACTCATTCATAAATTCCATCTTGCATCCTTTCTTTGTGGGGTTCTTCATTTGGGAAAGTTGGGTTTCAGGATAGGGAGTTGAGGTTGAGATTTGAGGTTCAGACACGGAGACTTGGAAGTTCAGGGAAGGTTTCAGCCAAGCTATGTACAATTTGAGTTTTGTGGAGCAGAGTTATGGCTTAGGAGCTTGGTCAATATCAGATGGTCCTGGGATGCTGAAGTCATTATGCTGGGTCCATCTATGTGGGTTTAGAAGGTGAATAGGGATTTATGCCTGGAGACTTCAGATTGGGGGTGTGGAACAGATTTTTAGCTTAAGAGTTACCTCAGGATTTGGGCATTCAGGAGTTTTCATATAGGAATTCTGGGGTTCATGTGAGTTTAAATGGGCAGATTTGGAGTTCAAGACCAATGGCATTTTCAGGTTTAGGGTTTGTGGAACAGACATATGAGCTAGGAGCTAGAGAAATATCTGGGGTTCAGGAGTTTTGGTGGGGATATCTGGGATCAAAAATGTTGAGTTTACAACATATTTGAGGTTCAGGTAAAAACAGTGCTCATTTGCCTGGAGTTTATCAAACAGATTAGCCTGAGGAGGTATATCAGTCTCAGGGCTTTAGATATCCTGACATGGAGATTCGAGGGTCATTCACCACAGACTTAGAAGGGCAACCCAGCATTCAACAGCTGGATGGAGTTTTTGGTTCTGGGGTCAGGGGCTCACTGATCTGTTCAGGGGTTCGGGGTTATGGACACAGGTTCGGGTTTATGGGCTGAAAACTGGTTCACGTGTCTAGTGGGGGGTCACCTGAAGGCCATAAAGGCGGATGAAGTAGGATTTCTGTGGGTTGTCCTTCACGAAGCACACGGCCCCACAGTGCTCCTTGGTCCAGTGCTCAGCTCCAGGGGGCAGCGCCAGGTACAGCTGAACAACCGCGGTGGCCAGTGTCTGGGAGGGGAGAACAGGGATCAGTGGAGTCAAGTCAGGGCCAGCCAGAGGCTTTGGGAGCCAAAGCCCGTCCTTCCGTGCTCGTGGCTGTCAACGGCCCAAAGAAAACTGCAGCCCGAGGGAAAGTGAACAGGCACAGAGGTCTTCCTGGGGTGGGCGCCGGGGGCTGGTAAGTGGATTTAGAAGAGAGATGATGGAGAGGGAAAGGATGAGGGGTGGGGGGAAGAAGGAAGAGGAGAGAAGGATGGGGAAGATGAGGATAGAGGCAGGGGAGGAAAGGAGAGAGGGACAATGGGGAAGATGAGGAGAAGGGGAAGCAAGAGAGGGAGATCAGGGGCCAGGAGATCTCCGGCTCACCCAACATTTTCGTCCAAGCATCTCGAAGAGTCGCTGGTTCTCATGATCCTGGAGGAGGGTAGAGGGAATGTTCTGCTGAACCCCTGGTCCTCCTCGGCCCCCAGGCCTGCCTCCCGCAGGGCCCCCACTCATGATGCCTCTGTCCTTGTTCTCTCCGGCTAGGCTCTGGGTGAGTTCTCTCTGACTAGGCTCTGGGTGCAGGGTTAAAAAAGGAACTTCCGCAGTGAGCAGGGGAACAGGAAGTACAAAAACCCACAAGGGAAACAAGTCCTCCAGGGGCCCCTAGTAGGCCTGACCTCCCCAGGATAGGCTTGGACCCTCCTCCCGCAGACTAGACCCCTCTTCATTTGACTGGTTATACCCATCTTTTAGATCAGCTCATGTCCTCCTCCTTTCTTACTCTCTGGGAGCCATCGCCCTCAGACTGGCTCTGGGTCTCCTCATTCTGATCGGCTGGTAGCAAGAGCCAGGCCACTGCAGCACTTCTTCAGAGCGCCTTGTGGTGAGAGTAGTCATGGGGCTGGGCAGCCTGCTTCCTCCCCAAAGTATCTAGTTGGCCTGGGCCTGAGGCCTGACCCTAGTCCAGTAGGATTGCTATACTAGAACTGCCAATTCCATGGTGATGCCTGGGATCCCACCCCTCTCCTGAGACCCCGACAAGGAGCACATGCACTCTGCTCACTTCCCCATATCTTACCCCTGTCTCCCTGCAGCTCATACATTGCTTTCTGTTCATCATCCCCTTTTTGTTTTTTTTAAAAGATGTATTTATTTATGCATGCAACCACTGGGGTACAGGCCAGAGGTGTGGAGGGTGAGAGGACTCACCAGAGACAGAGTGGGGAGCAGAACAGGCAGACTGACTGAAATACACTGCTGAGGGGAGCAGCCGGGGAGACAGGAGAGGTCTGCTGTGCCATGTGGGTCAACTCCCTGGCCTGGATCAAACTCTTGCTGCAGTGGCTGCAGACAGCTTCATAGTGCTGAGACTTAACCCCTTGCGCCACCAGGGAGGCCCTAGTTTTCATGGCATTTGAACTTCTTAAAAGCCTGTAATCTTTAGGGCCTCCCTGGGGCACAAGGGGTTAAGACGCAACCCATAAAGCTGACCACAGCCGCTGCAGCATGAGTTCAATCCTCGACCAGGGAGCTACCCACATGGCGCAGCAGAACTCTCCTGACTCACCCGCTGCTCCCCTCAGTAGTGTATTTCAGTTAGTCTGCCTGTTCTGCTCCCCACTCTGTCTCTGGTGAATCCTCTCACATACACCCAAACATCTGGCCTGTACCCCAGTTCTTGTATGCATAAATAAATAAATCTTTACCAAAAAGCCTGTAATCTTCAGACTTGTTTTTTCCCCACTCAATGTTCTATTTTTATATAACACACACTCTTGTATAGCACTGAATGCATGTGTGCCAGGTACTACTGTGACTTCTTTGTAAACATTGACTCATAACAGCCTGCGGGATACATGCTATTCCATGCCCGCTTGACAAAGGGAACAGAGGCACAGAGTTGGTGTGTGATTTTCCCAGTAGCTTCCGGCTCACAAGCGGTAGAGCTGGGGTCACACACCAGGCAGGCTGGGTCCAGAGTGCACACTTTTCAGGGCTGTGTTCCACGCTGTCTTTCAGGTCTGTTACGAAGGGTCATATTTGCCTGGCTGTAGTTGTCTTTTCACAGCTGTATATTATTCCATTATGTGATTGTATGATTCATTGATTCCGATTCTCCTGTTAGCAGTTTTGGGGCTGTTTCTGCCTTTTGCTGTTGGGGCACACTGCTTTGTTTGTGCCTGTACACATCTCTGGTCCACATAGGCAAGCTCACTATTAGGAGGTATTGTAGGGGGTGGGTTGTAGGGTTTGCATATTGCTAACTTTCCTAGCCAATGCCAGACTATTTCCTCAAGTGAATGCTAGTTCAGTCCTCACTCCTCCCTGGATCTGTTTCCCGTTGGGGGGGCCTAAAGCTCTAAGTCACACATACAGCAGTTTGGGAAGCTGAGCAGGTCTGGGATATGACTAACATTCCTGGGTACCTGAGGGTAAATGGCATATCTCAAGGGAGGGACCCACAGTCCTGCCTGAAAACTTGCTTGGCTCCCTACAAATGTAGGCTCAAAGCTTCTGTCGTAAGCCTAGGTTCAAAGCCCCTTCTGGTGTAGCAATTCCAACCTTCCCCCATCCCTCACAACTCAGCTTATGGCGCCCCCAAATCATCAGGTGATTTCATACATCCAGGCCTGGAGTAACTTACAGCCTGTTCATCAGGGCAAGCCCCTGCCTTTCCTTAAAAGGCCATGGCGTTCATATAATTTGAACACTGCTCATCAAGCTCTTACTGTACCGAGCAAACCGCCAGTATCAGTCTCAAACTAGACAACAAATCAATCAATCAATCAATCAATCAATAAACAAATAAATAAATAAATCTTTTTAAAAATAAAAAAAAAATAAATGTTTGCTGAAGGAATGAAGGAGGGATTAATGTCTAATTTGATTTAGTGTTTTCTGAGCTTTCTCTAAGTGCCTTATATTTATTAAATTATTGCACAGTCACTGATGGCCCCGCGAGGTAAGCACTACTGTTATCCCCATTTTACTGATGTGGAAGCTGAGGCCCAGAGCAGCTTAGCTAATTTGTCCCTGGGTCACACAGTTTGTGAGTAGTGCTGATAAGGCCAATTATATGCAAACTGGTCCCTGAACTGCTAAGTGCCACAAGGGGGAGAAGATAAAATATTGCTGCTACATCTTTTGGTCCCCACCTTCCTGCTCCTTTCTCTGCCCCTAGCTCTGTCTCCTTGAAGTCTAAATCTGGGGGCCCTAAATGTTTGCTCCAGTTGCTGGTTATTTTTAAAATTAACATTTAAAAGTTGTAGATTTCCTGTTCTTTTTAGCAGACAGGTTTAAAATTTATATTTTTTGTAAATAAAAAAACCTAAAACAGATTTTTACTTTACTTCCAAATAAAATGAGTTTCCCCACCCCAGAATACAGCAGTGAATCATTTTAATATTATTTTTCATAGTGTTCCAATTATTGAATTACTTGGTTGATCTGCATTAAAAATTTAGAGCTGTCCGCAGCCACTGCAGCGTGAGTTTGATCCCTGGCCAGGGAGCTTCCCATATGGCGCAGCAGACCTCTCCTGACTTGCCCGCTGCTCCCCTCATTAGTGTATTTCAGTTGGTCCGCCTGTTCTGTTCCCCACTCTGTCTCTGGTGAATCCTCTCACCCTCCATACCTCTGGTCTATACCCCAGTTCTTGCATGCATAAATAAATAAATCTTTAAAAAAATTAGAGCTGGTTTATTTTCATTTTGTATTCCATCAACTTTTGTTTTTCTATCTTGGATGACAGTATTTGATGAGGTGATGACTTCAAAGGGAATTTGTTTCCTGGTCCTTCAAACTGATTTAAAAACAAAAACAAAAACTGTCACCCAGCTTTTCTGCTTGTTCTCATGGAGAACGGGTGGAATACAAGTCATTTCACCACAGCTGGGAGCAGAAGTTTTAATTTAGTTCTTAGTAATCCAGTAAATACCCAAGAAACTCCCAAAGAATCAGGATCTGCCCAATAACTTACACACACCTGCTGCTCCCCTCTCTACTTCCCCCTGCAAACTCTCCCAGGGGCATCCAGATGAAGAACCATTTTCTGTTTATATCTTGTGTTTATTTTGCTTTGAGAGTATATTGACTACAAGATCCCAATCACTATGCCTCAAACTCGGAGTAGGTAGTAAGTCAGTCACTAATAAGAGATGGGGGTGTCTTCTACACTCCAGTCACCCCCATGTTACTGAATCCATGGAGATGTTCACCTGGGGAGGGTCCTACTGTGATTCCCTACGACCAAACTGAGGCCAAGATGGCAAGATTTCAATTGCCAGGCCATCCCTCTCTTCCCCTTACCTTCCTGCCCTTCAGCAACTCGACTGAAGGGTACTTCCTGGGGGACAGGCCAACCTAAGTAAACAGTACTTCCCAACCCTCCAAGCCAGTGCTTCCTATTGAAAAGAAACATTTTGGGAGGCCTCCTTTGACCATCCTGGAATGACATTCTGTATAAGTCTTGGTGGTGTAGGCTGTCCTCCCCACATCCCCATCTCAGGCCTGTGCCCATTCACTGTCCAAGCACCCCTATTATGGTGAAAACCAAAAAGTCTGCCTACCAGGAATTCCCAAAACACACCCCCAGGGCAAGCATGTTTATTGCCATATCCCCACCACCTAGCACAAGACCCTGCATGCAGTAGAAGCTCAATGTTTGTTGAATAATTATTGTACAGTCGAGCTAGCAATGCTATGATTTACTCCCTCTTCCCGTGTGGCTCCCCCTGTCCTCTCTTCCCTAACTGCCCTGGGAGAGAGGGAAGAAAAATAATTCAGAATATAAAGAGGGCAGGGGACCTCCCTAGTGGTGCAAGGGGTTAAGATGCAGCACTATGAAGCTATCCGCAGCCTCAGCAGCATGAATTTGATCCCCAGCCAGGGAGCTACCCACATGGCGCAGCAGACCTCTCCTGCCTCACCCACTGCTCCCCTCAGCAGCGTATTTCAATCAATCTGCCTGTTCTGTTCCCCACTGTCTCTGGTAAGTTCTCTCACCTACACCTCTGGCCTGTACCCCAGTTCTTGTATGCATAGATAAATCTAAAAAAAAAGAATATAGAGAGGACAGCTCCTCCCACATACTATTTACAGAAGCTATAGGCAAACAGGTGCTTTAGGGGCTCTCAGGAGAGCAGCTGATTATCTAGTTCTGGTGGGGGTGGAGTGAGGATAGGGTATGCACAGAAAAACAGGTCTCTGCAGAGATAAGAATGACGAGGTGGTTAGGACCATAGACTCTGGAGCTGAGCCTGGCTCTGGCATTGGTAATTATGAGGTGTTTAATGTCTGGTAACCTCCCAGTGCCTTGGTTCCTTGGTTCTCTCATCCATAAAGTGAAAATAGCACCAATTCAGGTTGTTGTGAAGACCAAATGAGATCATTCCCGTAAAGTCATTAGGACAGAGCTTGACACGTTATAATTGTGCAACATGATTGTTGTTATGAAACAGCCGAGTTACTTGGATAAATGCACTCTCATCCCTTCAACCCTAGAATTCTTCCCCTTCCCCACTTCTCACCTCACCCTCCTCCATCAGACTTTCAGGTCCCA